TGAGCACTTCACTCTCATTTTGGAATTCACTTGTGGTGCCTTGCACACCAAGTGTTTGACCAATTGTGTGAACAACAAACAATTGTGCTGTCTTTTCAATTTGACTATATTTTTCAAGAATTGGAAATAGTCAAACCTTATAGTGAATAAATTATGGTTGATATGTGTTCAAATTAGTGATTCTTAAATCTCGTTTTTACTGGATTCCATAGGTTTTGCGCATATCCGGTTTTTCGGTAAAGGTTCGCTTTAGACGAATATAGTTCCTCGGTCGCTTCCGCCTAAAAATATTTTAAAACTAAATATTGGTAGCGCCGACTCTATTTTTAACAAGTGATCTATTCAACCTCCCCTTCTAGATCTGCGCCATCGTCTAACAAGTAGTATCAAGAGCATCGGTTCATTCCGTGCTTCACATATAACTTCTTAGAAAATGACTAACGAACCAAAAGGGGCTTATAATTGAGCACCTGCTTTCAATGGTGAAAACTATAGTTACTGGAAAGACTGTATGCGTGTGCATATAAATTCCATTGACAGGAAGGTATGGAATGTTATTTTGAACGGTCCTATGGAAATAACCATGACCGATAAAAATAACATGATTATGCCTAAGCTTGAAGCACAATGGAATGACGAAGACGAGAAAATGTACAATTACGATTAAAAGGCTAAAAATATTCTGATCTCCTCCTTGGGAGTTGATGAATACTATTGAGTTTCCCATTGTTTGACTGCAAAGGCTATGTGGGACTCATTACAAGTTGCCCATGAGGGAAACAAATGATGTCAAACTAGCTAGAATCAATACTTTGACACAAGAGTTCGATCTCTTTCACATGGAGCAAGGGGAAACCATTGCTGACACACAAAAGAGATTTTATCACATAATTAATAGACTAAATTCACTTGGTAGACGAGTTTCTAATGATGTTGCTACTAACAAAGTCTTAAGATGTCTTACCAGGGAATGACAACCAAAGGTCACTATCATAAAGGAAGCAAATGATATTATGACCTTGGACCTTACAACACTCTTTGGAAAGCTTCAAGAACACGAGCAAGTGCTTCTTAGTCTCGATCAATTTGAGAAAAGGGAAAAGAAGGAGAAGACCAAAAATGCGGAAAAGAAGTCTATAGCTTTAAAGGCTTATTGTTCAAAGTCCTATGCAAAAGAGCTGAGTGATTGTGATTCGAGCGATGACGAAGATGACGAAAAGAACGAGGATATGAGGCTATTTGTGAAGCGATACAATCTCTATGTAAAGAAAAATGGTATCCAACATTCTGAAAAGAATCTAGTCAATTTCAGAAAACAATCAAGATCTTCTAAGAATGAGGACAACAAAGGAAGTAGAGTTAAAGGGTCGTGCTTCAATTATGGAAAAGCTGGACATTATAAGCCAGATTGTCCTTTGATGAAAAATGACAAACGAAATGAGAGTAATCGGTCACACAAGAAGCAAGTTAAGCCTAGAAGAGCTTACATCGCATGAGAAAGCGATAGTGAGTCATCCGAGGATGATAGTTCTAGTGATGAAGAAGAATCCGTCAACTTTTGTCTCTCCGTTCATCAAAAGAAGAAAAACAAAAAGGTACGACATACAAAATACGAAAACTCTACTAGATTGTCTCATTTCGAATTACAAACTGCCTTTGATATCTTACACCATGAAGTCAAGGAAGCCTTTAAACGGACGACCTCAAACAAACAAATTTATGCTCACTTAGAGCAAAAGATTTTGGATTCCGAAAGGAAATTAGAGGCTCTAAAGGCTTCCATAGTGGAAGGAACAAAGGTGGATTGTGAGGAAGTAAGAAAAAGAGTGGTTAACTTCGGGTGTGATACTTGTTACATTTGGCAAAATGAGGTTAGAAATCTCAAGGCTAAACTTAATAAGGCTCTAGAACCCAAAATCATGTTGGCTATTGATAGAGCGCATTTTAAAAAAGTATAGTTAATCCTTATCCAAATATACACATGTTGTCAGAAATCAAGATAGAAAAAGTGATACAAGAGTTAACTTTAGTTGCTTGTATTGTTGCAAGAAGGGTCACGCCATTGCTAAATGTCGACTGTATTATCGACTGGAAAATGGTTTCATCATTTTAGTAAAAGTTTTACACATGAAGAACATTTAGAAGTAATTTTCAAAGGTATCTAAGGAGACCGCCTTCCTATCATCGGGAGCAAGCTTAGCTAGTCTAATCTCTTCAAGTCATACCTTTGGGTTAGGAGGAACTCTAGTCTTTAGAGAGGGTATAAAAGTGGCATTCAACCACAATCATAAGAGCAAGATAGGCCCACCTATCTGGAGGATGTCAGGGTTCTTATTCCTCGTCATGCCTGCAACGGCCAGCCCTAGGGACTCATAGAGGCCCATAAGTATTAATCTGCTTTGGAATATTTTTCTCCCTTCATGGAGTTAGGTAGCGAAGGGTACATACTTCTTGGCTACTTGAACGGATCAAGCGCAAAAGACGTACATGTATAGCTAATAGGTGCGAAAGGCGATGTATTCGTGTGAAAGACTCAATCTGATGATTTTCGATGGTGTTCTATAAATAAGCTATAAGTAGAACTTGAGAAGTTGAAGGCATGTTCAGTCTTTGCTTTCCTTGAGGGATTAAAATCCACCCTAGTTAGTCGAAGGCTAACTATAACAACTATGTCAAAAAGGGCAGGAATTAGCATCCCACAAGGTAGATGAAAATTGTTGGTAGACGTGTCCCAAAAACACATGGAGGAAATAAGCATGCGAGGGTTGTATGAGAGACCCAATACGGATAGCTTGATTATGTCAAAAATCCCTAAATCCTTACAAAAATGTTTCTTCTTTTTTCTCAACCTTGTCCAGCCATTTCACGTACTCAACATCCTTATTTGGAGGAGACGAACGAAAGACACCGTTTTTGAAAAAGTTGAATTTGAAAGATTCATCAAGAAACACCAATGGTTCATAACCAGGATAAATGGGAAAGAAATCTTGCAGCACTTGGGATTTTTTGATGTATTTGGGTAAGTGACCCATAAAAGTGTGCACCTTACCAGCAAAGATGTATGAGATGAAAGCGGACAATGCCATATTTTCTTCTTTCTACTTCCATAGGAGGCTCAGGAACATAAGTTTGGTCGTTGATATATAGAGGAAGACCAATATCAGAAGTGAAACTTGCATGACGTTGTTTTGAAAGTGCCATTGAAATGAATGAATTTTGTAGTAAAGAGCTCAAGGAAGAAGAAATAAAGGTGACAATTTTTCTTTTTGTGTTTGAGTTGTAGAAAGATGAAAGTGAAGGAAAAAATTCTTGAGTGAACACGTTAAATAGCCAAGAAAAACAATTTAGTTTTTCTTCTCAAATGATTTCAACCACGGGTTGTCTAAGTCGATAGATGACACTATAAAGGCTATGGAAAAAGATGAAATGGAATTTAGAGATTTTTTTAATGATTTCATTTTCATTTAAAACTCCTAAAAAAATAGAAGGTAATTATCATAGATTTGCACGTATGTGACATGATATTTTTTTTTGTAAAATCATCATAATGGTTACAATAATATTTAATTACCATTAACAGTTCATAGGTGTGACGTGTACTGGGGAATAGTGTCGAAGAGTTCAAAAATCATCTTTCTTCCATTTCCATTTTATGATCGAAAGTGGTCATTTTGAGGACATAGTTCATAAAAAGAAATCGAGTAAAAGTTTACTTCAAGTTAATTAATTAAAAGGATAAATTTGAATTCGAGGGTGGGAATAAAGGTACAATGGGGTTTTAAGTAGAGGTGGCAATTAAATCCATTAAGGCAAAATCCATCCAATCCATTCATCAAAAAATTCATCCAATCCATCCACCACACAAAAAATAAGTTAATAGATTGGATTAAATCCATCCATTTATATGCATGGATGGATTCAATCCATCCATTTATATGCATGGATTGATTCAATTCATCCAACATATTTTAAGGATACAATGAATTATTTTTATTTTCGTTAGATTTATTTTTTAAAAATTAGATTTTTTTAAAAATAATTAAAAAACTATATTTTTTTCTGAAAAAAAATTTAATTTTTTTGAAAAAAAATCTGTTTTTTTTTTCAGAACAAAAAACTGATTTGTTTTTCGAAAAAAAAAACCGACTTTTTTTTTGGAAAAAAAATCAGTTTTTTTTTTCAAAATAAAAAACTGATTTGTTTTTTGGAAAAAAAAACGACTTTTTTTTTGGAAAAAAATCGGTTTTTTTTTAGGATAAAAAACTGATTTGTTTTTCGAAAAATAAAATAAAATTTTTTCTCGAAAAAAAAACCGACTTTTTTTTTTTGGAAAAAAAATCAATTTTTTTTTGAAAAAAATCAATTTTTTTTCAGAATAAAAAACTGATTTGTTTTTAAAAAAAAAATTGACTTTTTTTTTGGAAAAAAAATCAATTTTTTTTCTGAAAAATCGGTTTTTTTTTTCAGAATAAAAAACTGATTTGTTTTTCGAAAAAAAATAAAAAATTTTCTCGAAAAAAAAGCCGACTTTTTTTTTGGAAAAAAGATCGGTTTTTTTTTTCAGAATAAAAAACTGAGTTGTTTTTGAAAAAAATATATTTATTTTTACGAAATTAAAAAAAAAGTTGGATGGATGGATATCCATCCATTAAAAATATGTTAATGGATGGATTAGATGGATTTTATTTTTAATGGATGGATCAGATTGGATAATTTTAATAAAATTTTAGTGGATTTTAATGGACTAATGAATTGTTTTAATCCATCCAATAGCAATCCAATCCATATCCATCCAATCCATCCATTTTGCCACCCCTAGTTTTAAGTAAATTTATCTTACTTTTGTACAAGTTTAAGCCCAATAAAATCTTCATTAATATTCTATTCAAAATCTGACTCTTTTTTTTCCCCTACCAGAATAAAAGAAAATTCTCGTCTTCTTCATAATTCGATTTTCAACTATCAAAACAGAAAACTCGATCTACTGTGAAGTTTCGGCTATGGCGTTCATGAAGGGAAAAGCACTGGTCACCAAATTGGCAGCGTTGGCGAGATACGGTGTTCTACCGGGAGCCATGGTGGCTGCGCTCGTCTACTCTCCTCCTAATTACGCCGACAAACACGCCTCTGCCACCACCAATTAGGTAAGTCGTTTCTTCAATAATGCATTCTGTTTGATTTTCTATGATTTCACTGTATAATTGAATCACTGATTTAGTTTATGAAATGAATAAGTATCGAATTTGGTTCTGAAATCGTAAGATCGTGTCAAGTTAATTGTGATTTTAGGATTGTTTTGAAATGTTGTTATTATTATTGGAAATTGGTGATCTACAGTTCTAGAGTTTCAGGTTGATCTGCGGCTTTCTTTCTGTTTTTTTTTCTTTCTGAATTGATGTGTCTTTTACGATTTTTTTCTGAAGATCCGTTAAGTTTTTTAAATATGGTTTTCTGCTCTTTTGTGTAGTTTATACATTGGTGAATATCATTTCGAGATGTAGCATTGATGTATTTGAATCCTTAAATTTGGTTGCATGTTGTATTTACGGAAGAATTTGAGGGTTTCTAGCTCTATAACTTTATGTTTTCAGTGCTTTTTTTTTTCTTTCCCGAAAGCTTGGTAGCCGGTCTTGTGACCGACTAATCAAAGGGGACCAATCCCCCATCCACTAGCGGGATCCATTCAAAGCCAAAACAAAGCTTTGCATGGACTGGCCAAACACTGAGATTGTTAGCACCTAGCGGGATTCGAACCTGAGACCTTGAGAGCAGCACGGTCTCATGACCCAACATTCAGTGCTTTACTTTCTCATTATGTCTTTACTGTTTTTATCATTCAATTGGCTGAAACGTGGGGATTGTCCTGGTATGATATAGGGTTGGAAATATCTAAACAGGTTTTGTATATTTAAGAAAATGTTGCGAGTTCTTGACTTATGGAAGTAAATAAAAGCATTTTGGAACTTATTAACTCATAGTAGCAGGTCATTCTTTATGAAGGAAGTTTTAGTGTTGGCTTTTCTGCCTTCGTTGCGGTCCACCCCTAGTCGCCCAAATTGTGGCATTTGACTTGCCTTCACTGCAACCTCCAACACCTTCATTGTATTGGGTTTGAAGGGGTGAATTTGTCTCACATTGCTTAGAAATATGGCTGTGTTGTGTTTATAAGTGGGGAAATTCTAACTTACTAGTCAGTTTTGTAGGGAAGAGTTAGACCCACTCCAAATTATAAGATTGAGTTCAAAAGCCAAGTGGTGCAAAAGCAATACATAAATTACAGCCAAGTTTTGTTTTATTTGGCAGGATTAGTTGCATGAGTCAATTGAGTATGATGGGGTCAGTCAAAAGCCATTTTGTTTTGAAATATCATACCGTCTATTGGTTTTCCTAATTATTTCCTAGGTCTTTTCTACCCTTCTAATCATACTGTCTTCTGTTTGATTTCATTGTTCTTATTCGAGCCTCCATTGGTTTTATTTTCATGTGATCAAAGATTATGCAAACTCCACTACAATAATTCCTTCATTGGTTTTCTCCTCATCAAGTGCTGTTCAATACTTTTCTTGAACCCATTGGTTCTTAATCTTGTATTTTCTGTGTTCACTCATCCACTTCTGTATATAACTAATCGCCTCTACATTTTTATTTGCTTTTTTGGCACTCGATTGTCTCATTTTCTACAAATCAAATTCTATTCTCTATGTATGGAAGTATTGGATCATTGGATGGCCTGAAGTGAGATGCTTAGCAACTTGTATTTTTAAAGGCTTGTTTGATTTTTGTTTCTGTTTTCAATTTTTGTTGTCTCTCTTCATATGGTGGATTTTTTGGCTTTCTATCATCCGCCATGGATAGCCACTGCCTTCCATTCATATGAAGGCCAGTTAAGCCTCTACCTCTTGTTTGTTATTTTGGATATCAAATATCTTCTCAGCCTTAACTATCCATCTACCCAATAAGACCATTTTGGTCATGCATTTGTTTATTTCTAACCATTGTTAGAACTTCTTGCTAGACCACCTTTTGCTTAGCGAAATCCTTCAACCATCAAAGAATACCATCCAAATTGTCAATTTTGTTTCTCCTAAATCTTGCATCTGATCCTCCTGGTGGAATTGGAACTCTGCATCTTGGCATTCATGTCTACCATCAGCATAGTTGTATCTTATTTTGTGACACTATTTTAATATCGGGTGAAATAACATATTAATTTTGTTGGATGGAACAGGTGCACGAGGGTTTAATGAAGAAAATCAGCAATATGTGAGAGTCTTTTAATGCAGCATGTTCTGTAATAAATTGGGTGACTAGTTTTGTTTTAGAAATACTTAGATTATGACTGTTTTGGGGAGACGATTTGTTTCATTTGAATTTTGTGGAATCAACTCTTTTCTCTCCTGAGCATCACTGAAAATTACAAGGAACGCCCCTCACATTTGTTATCAAGAGAAGTGTTATATCATACAGAATATTTTTCACATAAATTGCAAAAATTTGATCAAAATCATGCATGAGAAAATATTTTTAAGATTCAATCATGCAGGGTCTAGTAGGATATATTTACATTTTTACCGTGTCATTCGAAAGAAGAACAAGAGAATAGAGAATTGAATGATTCACCGTATCATTAGAAAAACAAGAGAATGCGAGGATTGTTGTATGATTAGAGTTTTTTTTTTTTAAATATTTTTTCTTCTTTTTCCCTTTTTCAAAATAAATTTGAATTTTATTTAAATTGTATTTTTAATTTTATGTGAAATTATTTTTAAAATGGTAATAATTATAATTGATGATGAACCGTTTGAATATGTACTATGAATTTATTTGTACTTGATAGTAAACTATCATTATTTTAAATATGTTGTACGAATTTATTTAATTTTAGGAAGAATGTATTTTTATTTAAAGGTGAACTATCATAATTTTGAATGTTTTGTATAAAAGTATTAAATTTTAAGTATATTTAATTTAATTTGAAGTTGTTTGGAAAATAAAGAGCGTTGAATAGATTTGTTTTAAAATATATTCGTTTAAAAAAATGATGGCTTGAAATAAAATTGTTAAAAATGAATGAATTGTTTGAAACAAAGGTATTTCAAACCGAATCTACAAACTATACGAAGTTGATTAGTTTAATTTGATTTATTTTTAAAAAAATAGAAAAAGCTGAACCCTAAACTAAATTAAACTGATGTAGATTTTACTAGTTCTGACATTTTTTTTTTTGAAAGTTACAATATTGTTATTGTAAAAATGACTTATCTAAAATTTTAAGTTCACTTAAAACTTAAAATACATCTTGACCGATTTTATTTAAATTTTAAGGTTTAATTTATCTTTTAATTTCTTAGCTTAATTTAAATTTTTACTATACATATTTATTTAATAAATATTATATTTTAGTTTCTTAAAAACTATTCTGTGAGCCAATTTATTTCATTATATTAATTGTTAACTTTAAATATTTTAGGTTAGACAACATTATTGAGGGTCCACCATAGACTTTATTATTTTTTTAATTTTGACCATTGAATCCTTTTAACAAATATCGTACGGTTAGACATTGATAGTCTACTGAATATGACAATGATCTATCAACACATAATATTTTTTATATAACTTCATCTTCTTTCCTCTTCTCCCCCATCATCTTCATCATCATATTCATCAACATTGATCTCATATCTAAAAAATTCAAAATAGAACCCAGAAAAATCAAAATTAAACCCTAAACAATTTAATATTAGAAAACATATGAATAGAGTTGTAAAAACCCAAAATTGATTTAGGGCAATAGTAACGTTCTCAATAAAGACAAATCCAAATGATGAATAAAATAGAAGTAAACAAGATGTCACATTCAATATGGTTGTAGAAAGAGAAATAAATTGTTTTTTCTTCTTCTTTTTCGTTAGAATTTATTGAAGTCTGGGTAAAATTGTTGGGGGATTTCATAAATGATAATTTAATATTCATTTGTTCTATGCTTAGAGATATTGTTAAAATTTGAAGAACTCTAATTTTGGGTGAAGTGTTAACGTTTTTGTGGTTGAATCTTGAGTGTTACTATTTTAAGAAGAATTAATATGAATGGATTTATGATTTTTTTTTTAAACTTAAAATAACAGTTAGTATTCGATCTATGAAAATTGTTTGATTTTATGTACATGGATTTTTTTGGTTTTTTTTGTCTATTTGAAGTGAAAACATAAAATGATTTGCTAACAGAAGACAAAACCCTTAAACTGGTTCCATCCAAAAATCCATTAATAAATTAATTTGGATCTTGTTGACCACTATTTATTTTTACTTGGTAAGTTTTAGCTTAATGTGTACTTTTTTTATTTATTTAATTTTGATTCTTTTGAGTTTTATTTTGATTTTTTGGGTTTGAGATGAATGATGATGAATGTGATGATGAAGATGAGGATGGAGAAGAGGAAAGAAGATGAAGTTATATAAAAAATATTATGTGTTGATAGATAATTGTTAGACTATTTTTAACTGTGTGTGATATTTGTTAAAAAGATTCAATGATCAAAATTAAAAAAATAATAAAGTCTATGGTAGATCCTCATCAATGTTGTCTCACTTAAAACATTTAAAGTTAAAAATTAATAAAATGGACTAAATTGACTAACAAAATAGTTTTTAAGAGACTAAAATATAACATTTATTAAATAAGAGAATAATGTGAAAACTTAAATTAAACTAAGAGATTAAAAGATAAATTAAGCCAAATCTTTTACTACTATAAGATAACACATCTTAAAAATAAAAAAAGGATTAACTGCGGGTCAATATTCTAGAGATTCTTCATTCACACTTAGTATTTCTCTCAAACTTTATGAATATTTTAAAATTCGGAAACATCACACAAGAGACTTTAAATTCATTTGAAACACATCAAATGCAGAAATTGACTTGTCAGAATATTGAAATATATATACATGCTTTGAACTAATATCTAGATTTTGATCTTTATATATATATATATATATATATATATATATATATATATATATATATATATATATATATATATATATATATATATATATATATATATATATATATATATATATATATATATATATATATATATATATATATATATATATATATATATGTATGTGTTAGTAGT